ATTATTTGAAGACCAAGAAATTAGTGAAATCAAGGGGTTGAGAGTAGTGTCAGGAAAGAAGTTGGAAGGGTCCTAATAAATGCTATTCATGAGAATTATGTTGACATTATATATCATCTGAGACTTGTCTCAGGAAAAACAAGCCGTGTGAACTAGTTAGGCTGAGATGTGTTCAGTTTTCTAGTGGATGGGCAGGAGTAATCATTTTTGTTGTGAGCAGACTTTCTCTGCCTGCAGTCTGCATAGAGGGTACAAGAAATACATTAAGGTGAGGTAATAATACAGATATTCTTTCCAGAGAAGGCTTTCAAGCAAACCTACTTCTTCCTGGTTTTACTTTTTCAAGGAATTTGTTCAGGTCCTTTGTAATTAATAAATAATAAGTTTACGTATTGAGTAGCCCTGTGAGTGTCCCAGTGGGATGATTATAGTCAAAGTCCAAAGTCTTTAGGAATCTGCTTCCTTAATTCCTGTGTGCTTTGTGGAGGAGTGGGAGCCATCTGGATACAGGGAGAGGAAGTTCTTAATGAGCTCCCTTTTGTTTTGCAAGACAGACTTTTGATTTGACTGTTAAATTCACTTTAACTGAGAATTTGGCCTCTGCTTTTGATATGGTAGGAAGGAGGGGCAGTTCCCAGGGGCTCCCTGATGGACATGTGCACCAACAGCTGTTATTCTGTTTTGAAGGCTCCCTCCCAGCTCCCCACCATTCACTGGCCCTGCAAGTGCCTGCTGTGGGGAACTTCTGACCCATCCTTTTTGTCCTTGGTGTTTGATCTGCGCCGTTTCCAGGTGGTTTGGCCCTTTCCTGAGACAAACATCAATTGCAAAGATCAGAGTGGGCTGGCTTTTGAAGAGGTCTTTCAGATTCTGCTTTGCAAGCCTGCTGAGCGATGTGGTCCTCCTTTCATGGTTTCTATTCCGTCTGTCTCTTGAAAGGGCAAAAGGAGAGTCTTCGTATGACCAGGAGCTATTGATGTTGGCCGCAAATTCATTTCAGATTAATTTCTACATTTTTGTCGCAGACATCTGACAGCCATGGCAGTTCCTTGATCTTAACATTGCTCTGGCAAGGCTGCCAGGGAGCAAAAAGAGAAACGGTTTCTGTAGACTTACTAAAAACAAAGGAACGGTTCCCATTCATAATGAGGGTCTGGGAAAGGCCACTCTTGGCTCTTTCTTTTGTATAATAATTATGGGTCCCGAGTAATAACAACTCATGTGTTACAGGATTAAAGTAGTCGTATTAGCTAAACATACAGTAGCACCTCTTGAAGCAACCATAACATATTTATTGGTCTACCCATGTTATGGGAGCTCTGGTGGCCTAGTGGCAAGAAGCTGCACTGCAATCCCAGAGGTGCTCGGTTTGAATCCACCAGATACTCTGCTGGAGAAGGAGGGGCAATCTCCTCCTGTACTTGTGGTGCTGGAGAAGAGTATTGAGAATACCATGGACTGCTAGGAAAACAAACAGATTTGTCCTGGAAAGGGTTAAACC